CTAAAATGAGCCAAGAAGACTGCAGTTCCTACTGTACAGTGGCTATTTTTAAAATACATGTTCATATTACCACAGTCAATTTGGATGTTAAATAAGGTCAAAGCGAAAAAACCTTCATAGGAATTGAAGCAACATTTTTCGGCGGTTGCATTGCTGCTGGTAAGGCCATGGTTTGATAAAATACATTCTAAGAATGTGATATCTATAAATTGGCCAATTATTACTAAATTATGGCATTGCAATAGTTGTAACAGCGTCAAAGTTTGTGCGGCCTGTATCCACTTAGGTCAAAATTTTATGTTTAAAGGTTAGGAAGCAACATACAAGTCACGAAGGTAGATCAACATGTAAATACCTACCAGTTTAAACAGATAATATTTATCTTGGTTTCCTGCTGAAGTGTCCTTCCTCTCCTCAGCGACAAAAGTGATATGCTGATATGACTCAATATGTCTCATTTGAATGAAAACCTGATGTGCAGTTATACGAGTTTCATCTTCAGAATCTTCAGCCAAACGAAGGGAGAGGAGAAGGCGTGTACCAGCTTCTAGTTTTACCAAATTTGAATGCGTTTTTGTTGGCGTAAGCCTGATAAAAAGGACAAAAAATACAGTAAATTAGAGCACTAAGCTCTCAATCCCACTATCTCCAAGCAATACTGAATAAGACTCGAATGGTTTTAAATAGAAGCAGTAAATGCTTGAAAAAGTTAGATCCTATTGTTTGAATTCCCTGTACATATTTAACATCAAGAAGCAGTCTGCTGTTGACAGAGGGGATCCCAGCATAAGTTACTTAGCCATAACCATTAGCGATAGCGTCATCCAAAGCCAAAGTTTCTAAGGTGCTAAAGACTAAATTGTATAGTAAGCTTTGGCACTTTTATAGACTAATATACCTTCGAGGTTAGAATATGGCGAGATTGTTTAGCGCTGTCTCTATCAGTTATATATTAGAAAATAGTGAAAACATTAAACATCAGAGAAATATATTCTTCTTATAAACTTTATACCAATAATATCAGGAAAAAGTATTCGCATAGCTTAACGAAGTTAAAATATGTTCACTACGGATGACTTGAAAAAGCTTGCATATTTAGGGTATAAAAAGAAAGCTAAGACGCCGGTTAAGACTGGGTTTATCGAGCACAGATTAAATAAGATATTTCAGTGCATTCATTAAACGAAAAACCAACTAAATAATTAAAAGGATAACTCAGCCATTTTTCATTCAACCAGATCAAATAAGTAAGCAAAATCCCTAAAAGCAAGAGCGAGGTATATTCTTTTTCTCCACATACAAAGAAACATACAAATAGTTGGTAAGTTAATAAGAATAAGATAAACTCACGTTTCGTGTAAGAGAGCCTTGTTATTTTCGTTATCCAGCTTCTTAAACTCAGAGCCTAAGATTCGTATATTTGTAACGGATTTGAAAGGCAACTAAAATGAAATAAAAATTGAATAATCAGGAAAAGTATGAACGAATAGGCATGGTTATAACTCATCCTGACACAAATACCACAAGATTTCTTTGGAATGAAGGGAATAATTATACATATATTAATAGTGAGATGAGAATAACTTACCTTAGCATTGGTGATCCCGATGAACCTCAAAGAAGAGTTTTTATTTGCTGTAACTCCAGCAATCTCAAGATGGTAGAATCCACGAGGAGGCAACTTGCCAGCATCTGCCAGAGATATTTCAAAAACGGTCCTAGACCCAATAAAGTATGTAAAATGTGTAGGTATAAGCTGGTAATCTGATTAGTAACTTGGTAAAATTTGGTGATGCTGTAAGAAAAACGCTTAGAAAAACTAAGATATTCACTACTCATCAATAGTAACGATACAAGTATTCAACCATGTATTGTTAGCTACACTAACTCCCCTTAAGAAAACCATTCAAAAGCCTTAAAGATAGCTAAATGACCTACCTATAAACGACAAATAAATACTCAAGAAAAGGGACAAAACGTAATCGGCGTTCCCAAAGTAAATGATACAAGGAGAAATTGTTCAATATTTGAGGGACAACCTGAAAATTCTGATCATTATCTAGAGTTCGACCAAACGATTATAGTAAATTAACTTAAAAGAACCTGAATATGAGACCTTTTTGTTTATGATCTTTGAATGTGATTATAGCCTCCGATAGCCACAATAAAAATAATAAAAAACAGTATATAAAACATTTAGAGGCCAGAATGACATAGAAAAGCTTTACCCATTCACAGATGCCACAGCCCTCCGAGAAGTTTGGCTAATGGTGACTGGTTGCTTGTTGACTATCTCACCCACAGTAAGAGTAATTTGATTGGAAGTAAGCCAAGATCCACCAAAAATAGTTATCAGTCGGAAA